CACGGCGGGGCAGTTATGGCAGGAGTGGCCGCACTATGGCGGAAGACGATAGACTACATGAAGACTAAGGAGTTCCGGGACTACCTGACCAGCACTCACTTCTGGGGGCCCGTGGCCAACTGGGGCCTTCCGCTGGCGGCATTTAAGGACATGAAGGCGCCGCCGGACATCATCAGCGGCCGTATGACAACAGCTCTCATCTTCTACTCGATGGCCTTCATGCGCTTCGCCTACCGCGTACAGCCTCGGAATTTGCTGCTGATGGCCTGCCACGGCACCAACGTGGTGGCCCAGAGTATGCAGGGGGTCCGCTACCTACGCCATCACTATGGTGGGGGCACTGCATCGGACACAGCGCCTGAAGCCCAAGACCCTCTTCCGGCCACCACCAGCCCTGGCGGGGGCGGCCCTGATCAAATCTCTGCACCTTGCAAGCATTGAACTGTTAAAGACCAACCCATCAAAAATGTTGGGTTCGACTCCCCAAACAGTGCAAATCTAAGCCTGCAGTTTAGTTCATAATAATAAAAATCAAAAGTAGTACCACGTTGTGTGTTTCTTATTTCATGATCTAGAACTAAGATGTTTTTCAGTAGGTAAGGGTAGATTGGCTGGTCGACTGGAAGGTTGCTTTATATGGAGAAGGAAGACTTTGAATGAAAAACTCTTCTTGGGAACATGTTTTTGTGAACTGGTTTGAGGTGTCCAGGGCAATGGAAGGTGCTTAGTATTATAGGAGACTTTTAAAACTTGGCACCGTCATTTTTCTACACCAAAAAAAGCTGGGGGCCTACTTCTACTGAACAGCGTGTTTTAAAGTAGGTTTAAAGGAATGTAGTGAAATCTAGTTTAAACTTTGAAGGTGTACTTATCAAGACAATAGTAGAATCTTTCAGTGACCAAGCGCTATTACAGAATCTGCCATGGAAACAGGGTAAACAACGTCAAGGACAGTTACTCTTAACCTAGGTAACTAGGAAGGAAAAACAACAAAAGCGTAATTCTTTCCTCCTTCCTTATCCTTAAAAATGGGGAAGATGGGGGGCCAGCAGTTAGCATAATGGCTATGTCGCTGGACTCCCATGTAGTCAACTGCGGTTCACATCCTGGACCCGGTGGCTTAAAACTCACGCCGGGCACATGTGCGTGCATGCCCAAGATCCCGAGAGGAGAATGGAGGAGAAGGGATTGCGGTGTGACCATCCCCCCTGGGGGGTGATTTCTTGCCTTCTGTCTCTCTGTCTCTCTCTGTCTGTCTGGCGAGCACACGCGCCCTATAAGCAAAAACCTCTCAAAAAAAAAAATGGGGAAAATGGCGCTTTATAAAACTGGTTAACCCATTGCCCTGTGTTGAATGCTATAGAGGACTGGGAGGTGAGGGTCAATGGCCCACAGCAGTAGTCCAGAGTATTTCCCTAGCAACCTTGTGGGCGCGACTGACTTCTTAAATCAGAGAACATAAGAGAGCAATACAAGGGTGGGGCTGTGGGGTGAGGTCATTACCTCTGCAGCAGAGGCTACCCACTAGGCGTGACCCCAAATTTCCCCCTGCCCTAGCCTCTGTAGAACGCAAACTCTAGTGTGGTTGCCAGGGAACCCCACTCTATGTATTTAGAAGTACTTCAACCTGCTTTTAAGACTTAAAATGCAAAGAGACTGAAGACTATCTGAGAAAGTTCCAAAGCTATCAGCTCTTAGATATGACAGGCACCACATTAGTGGGAGGCTGGAAGATTCCCCTTTCTTTTCCGTGGCATCTAAGCAGAAGTCCCTTGTGGGCAACCTCTGTCTTTCACATTCTCCATACAGAAAGGAAAACACCATAGCAAAGTATAACGCACTAATTACTAGTACCGTGTAACACGGCACCCCCAAACTCAGCGTAAAGCGAGTGTTATCTCCCACAGTTTTTGAGGTCAGGCATCTGGGAGTGACTACACTGCATGCTCTGGCTCAGGGGCTCTTGGCTGTTAACTGGAGCTGAAAGACCCACTTCAGGGTCACTTACACAGTTTGCAGGAGGCTTCATACCTTGGCCTGAGGGCCTCTCCATAGGGCTGCCCGTGACCCGACAAAGCTTCTTCCCTCCGGGGCTGTGTTCCGAGACAGAGCCTACAACAGAAATCCCGGTCTTTTTTTTTTCTTTTCTTCTTCCTCTTCTTTTTTTTTTTTTTTGAGAGGTTTTTGTTATTGGGAGCGGGTCGCCAGAAAGACAGAGAGACAGAGAGACAGAAAGCGAGAAATCACCCCCCGGGGGGATGGCCATGCTACAATCCCTTCTCCTCCATTCTCCTCTCGGGATCTTGGGCACGCACGCACGCACACGCACCCGGCGTGAGTTTAAGCCACGGGGTCCAGTACTCGACCCGTAGTGGACTCAGTGACATAGCCATTATGCCATTATGCCATCTGCTATTCCCAGAAGTCCCAGTCTTTTAGCTCAGTCTTGGACGTGACATACCATCACTTCTGTGTTTACACAGTCCAACCTTGCAACCCAGGGGAAGGACGGTAAGAGTGAGGGTGGGGATACCAGGAGGCAGAATCATTTGGGGCCATCTCGAAGGCTGGCTGCTCCACGTGGTTCTGAGAAAGGAATTCTCATTCCTTTCTTTTTCTCAAAATTTACTTTGTTCACGAGAGTAGGATAAGTGACCCCTGAATAGGGGTTAGCCACACCACAATCTCCCACCAGCTTCCAGGCAGCTCGGATCACAGCTGCCGGTTGTGTTCAGGTCAAATTAAGACCTGAAACCGGGGCCTTCCC